TTTTTTTTTTTTTTTTTTTTTTTTTTTTTATTATTATTTTTTTATTTTATTTAATTCCATTATTATTATTATTATTATTATTTTTTTAATAACATTTATTTGGTTACAACACTTCTTATGACAATACTTACATTTACATGAAGGAAAAATAAAAACAACGTACAAGAGATAAAGGAAAAATACAATGTTACAGCAGCGTTTTACAGACACCCCCTTTAACGACAGTCAAAATTCGCGGGCGGCTGAACCCCTTTGTAACGAGCGAAATACTCAACCTTATGAGATCTAGAGATCGGTGAAAAAAGTAGCCAAAAATACTAAAGACCCATACGCCTGGTAAGCAAACAAAACTCTGTGTTGAAAGGCTAAGAATGAGATCCGAGCGGCTGAGAAAGTTTTTGTTGCGGAACTAGTTCAAAACAACAGAAACAACTCCAACTGCCTCTGGAAAGCGATCCAAATATGCGTACCTAAGAAGTCCGCCTCTCAAAGGACTTTTACTAAAGAATACCGTCGCTAAGATTACTAAACCGGCAAAGGAATCGAATCACACCCTTGGTCAATGTTCATTTGTGCCGAGAACCTAACCACTGCCAGAGCAGTTCACCTTCAAGGCAATAGAGTGCAGAAAGTAGCTGAAGTGATACCCATACTCAAAAACCGAGATCGGCCATGAAATCCTGAACAATAACAGACCTATTTCACCGCTCCCAGTCCTGCCAAAAGTTTGCGAGCGTGTAGCACACAAGCAATTCATGTCATATTTGCTTGCAACAGGTCGTTTAACATGCAGACAAAGCGACAATAAACAGTGGCATTCAACGGAAACATCAGTTATTCAGACCACCGATGAAATCCTGAGTGCCATTGATAAAAGGAAACTAACTGCCATTGTTCTCCTGGACATGAGCAAATCTTTTGACAGTAGTTTAATATGGTTAAAACCATCAAATACTTCTTGACGAATTACAAGATATCGCAGCTTCAGTATCAGTACTTGAATGGTTCCGGAGCTACTTGACTTCACGATACCAAGCCTTGCGAATAAACACAACCCTGTTGGACAAGCTATCTGACATTTCTGGCGTCCTACAGGGTAGTATCCTGGGTCCATTACTATTCAGGATCTATGTCAATGACCTCCCTTCGATTCCTGAAAACTGTTCACCACAATGTTATGTTGATGACACCAAACTTCTAATGTCCTTTCAACTCCAGGATAAAGAAGAAGTGATGACCAGGATAAACTAGGACGTGTTAAGGATTCGGTATTGGTGTTTCAGTAATAAGCTGTTACTTCACCCAGAGAAAACAAAACTTGTCGTGTTTGGCAGCAGACAAATGACTGCCAAGGTAAATGACTTTCGCCTCTCTTTCGGGGAAGGAACTGGAACCTGTTACAGTTGCTAGAGACCTTGGTGTGATGCTGGACGCTAATTTAACATTCTATGAGCATATTGTTTCTTCTGTATCCTCATGTATGTCACGATTATAGGCCAAATCAATCGCGTTAAGCATTTTTTTGACAAAAACGCTTTGATTATTATCATAAACGTATTAGTTTTTAGTAAGCTATTTTATTGCTCCTCTGTTTGGAGCAACACCACCCAGTCTAACCTGGACAAACTCCAAGCTGTACAGAATTTCGCCTGTAGAATCGTGAGCGGGCTGGAAAATTTGATCATATCACTCCCTTGTTAAAGGACTTGCTCTGGCTCCCAGTCAAGCAACAGCTATACTTTCGAATTGCTGTTTTAGTATTTAAGTGCATGACTGGGTGTGCTCCAGCGTACTTAAGTTCGTAGAAAGATCGGCCGTTTCGACAAGGACAGCCAGGAACTCGGAAATGTTGAGAATACCACTCTTCCGCAATTCCGCGAAGTTTAACGCCATCAATTAAGTCCACGCATTGAATCAATGGGCACCTCATGACCGCGTCTGAAAGAACTATCCAGCTCAGTCATCTGTCCACTCCTTGAGAATGTGAAATTTTCAAATTGTACGCCGCTTAAATATTTTGCTTCTAGAGAAAGCTCATCTCCACAGTCACAGAACCACACTTTTATTTTTCGTAAAAAAAAATAAAGAAAGTAATCTTAACAATCTGACTACGAGTAGTCTGTCAGTTTCCTCGTCACCCGTGAGAAAGGTGACACTCGAAAGATTGAGAGAGCCGCGCGCGTCACCTTCCTCTTGGGTGGCGATTTTCTTTGATTTAGCGTGGTCATTGGTGCGTTCGCGA